CATGTCTTACTCATCTTTGTATTGCCAGCAGCTCTGAAACAGTGTCCCAAATATAGTAGGCAATCAGTAATAGTAGGCATTTGTTGTAGAGCTGAATAGGAATCCCCCTCATTATTCCAGTCACCCTTTTCCAGATATGTTTTCATTTGTTAACATGCTTCTTAAATAGGACTATTAGCTCCCTCTCAATTCTTCGTATTCCTTGTCTCTAATGACCTTCTGAAATCTACTCCAACCATTCATTCCACTCCCATGGCTATAACCAGTCCTGAAAAACAGCTCAACTTGGGAAATTCAGACATTCCACTCTCTACTTCCCCCCGTCATTCTAGCCTACTTGCTCATTTACACTCATTATATCTTTATTATCATTGAGCTTTCAGTCGACTGACTGCTCCACTTTCACTATATACACAATATCCTTCCTATCTTCATATCCATCCTCATCTCGTTTTGATTTCTGAGTACATACATTAGCTGTATCAATATAGCATAATTTCTCTGTCCTGGAGTCTATACATCACAAGCTGGTGAAAAAAAAATCTTCAGTGGCTCCAACTATAAGCCTTTTCCAAGCCTGTGCCCAGGCTGCTGGGTGTTGCTGGTTAATGTTCGCCTTGAAAACTCAGTGAAGGCTGGGACCATGTGAGTCTTGTTCCCTAACACATATTTGATGTTTAGCATGTGGCGTAGCATATAACAAGTATCCGATAAATATTGTTTGAATAAATAAATTAATTCAAAATTAAACCATACTCCAAGTGTACTCTAATCAATAAGTAGACTAGAACCATCTCTCACGCTGGATGTTACTTTGATTAATGTGTCCTAAAATTAATTTATTTTTATCAGTGATGACAGTTGACTTCCATTTAGCGTACGGTTATTCAAAACCAGAAATCTTTTGACCTGAACTACTGACTAATAGATAAGGATTTCTCACATTCCTTCCACACAGAGCAGACTCTCTAAGCATAAGTGCAGAATTTACCCTATTAATTTTTATCTATTTTTCAAACTTATCTTTGCCATATAGTATATTAACTATTTCTCTCAGATTTGAGCCATTTGCAAATGTTATAGACCTGACCTCTATTTAGCCATGGATGAGAACATTAAATGTGACAGTACTGAGGACAAAGTACCGTGCGATTTTACAAGAGACATTTCTTGAAGCTGACAATGACTTATTAATTAACACTTTTGGGAGAAGCCTATAAAAACCTTTAATATGTATTATCACCCAGAATTTTCCCTCATAAAAATTTAGACAACTATATCTCCTAAGAGGTGGAACTGGCGCAAAATAGCAAGAACAAAGAAAGTTTAGAAAATCTGATAAATTACTATGAAGATATTCTTAACCTTTACGCATGACACCAGGGAGGACAAATATGTCTCCCCAGAGCCTGCCTTTTGAAGGTGGCTGCTGATAACAGGACGCTTGGCTGGATTATGTATGTGACCTCTTTTTCTGTGTAAAAGAACATCTATTAAAGTTGCCATTCCCTTAATCTTTCTTACTGCCAGGAAAAGTGAGGGGAAAAAAAAGTAAGAGGAAGCCAGGTACAGGCAAGCCATTTAACCTCACCAGGTGCCTATAAAATGACAGAGGGAGACTGGGTGACCTGTAAAGTCTTTTCTTGCTATAATGTGCTAATAGTTGCCAACTGAATGTGCTCCCTTCTCCATAATCATATTTGTAATTATATCTTCCTCTAAATATAACCCAGTAGAGTGAATGATGTAAGAGATTTTGGATACGGGATGTTCTGGTTGAGCACTATTTCCTCTGTTCCTCTCAAGTCAAACCAGGTAGGTGGTTACGTACATCTAGACTTCTTATTTCCAAATCACATTCACATTAGTGTACTTCTGTTTGCCATCATTTATGTATTTAATAAACTTTATAAAAACAAAGTTATATTTTTGCTCAAGCTTCACTTAACTTTATTTGAATATAGTCATGACATTCAAATATAAAATATAAGTCTAGAACTGAATAACCATAATTTGCTTTCTGCAAAATTATAGTGTATAAATGACACCTTGATAGAATCAAAACATTATGGAAAGAATTTTAACATTCCACAGATTAACTTAAAATGCCAAGAAGTGCCTTGATCTGAATTAGAGTCTACGGTACTATAGTGTTCTCAAATTAAAGAAGGAAAGGAATAACATAACACTTTTGAAATGGAATCTGGAAGAAAATGCCATTGGAGAAGAATGATAATAATCTTGAAAAGACTTGTCTAGTGAACAGAAATAGAACACAATGCCCCTAATCATAAATTATTGCATAAAGATAAATTTTTCTTTGAAACAGCATTTGTGTTAACAAGCAAGAAAAGGACAGGTATACTCTTCTGCTGGCATATGACAAGTCCTAATCAGGCAACAAAAAAAGAAATGCTTTTGGACCACTTAGGTTTTCCTAGTACCCAAAATGTAAATCCGGTTAATATGTTTATTTTACATAGGTTAAATTTTGGTATTTATAGTCTGCAGGAATTGCAACTAAGGGTTTCCCAATAATATCTAGCATCATGTCTATTTGACATGATAGCTTAAAACTATTTATTATAATTTGTGTAGAGAAAGACTGTCTTTTTAATAGCAACTTTGTACTAGGACAACTTAATAAATTCTTTTTTGTTTTGAACATTTTTCAGCTGATCCTTTCATTTTTCCAAATGAATAATATCAGCTGCAAATAATAATAATTTTATCTTTTCTTTTCTATATTTACCTCTTATTTTTCTTTTGAGTAATTGAACTGATAGTGCCTCCAAAATAAAGGTAAAGTGTGGTGACAGTGAATACCCTTGTCTTGATTTTATCTTCACGTGATGATTACTTTGGGCTTAAAAACACACACATATACATAAATATGCATATATATATATATACATATATATAGTATGAATGTACATTAGATATAAATAAATACATTCACACACATACCTTAAATTTATTTAAAACTGTAATCAAGGATAAATGCTGAATTCTATCAAGTTACTTCTCAGCATAAATGGAAATGATGTTTTTCCTTGTCATTATTAACGTGGCTAATTATTTTAACATACTTCCCAATCTTAAACCATGCTTGCATTCCTGATATAAATTCCATTTACATATGGGTAATATAATAATAGGTCTTTTAATGAGTTTCTGAATTACACTAATCTTGCAGATTTCTACATTTATAGTCAAGTAGAAAAGGTCCTTGGTTTTTTTTTTTTTGGTGCTGTTTTGTCTGATTTTGGTATCAATGTTAAACTGTCTTCATACAAACAATTTGGAAAGACTCTTTCAGTGCTCTAGAGCCCTCTAAAATATCAGCATACCATGACCACATGGGGTTATTTGAGAGAATTGTAGAAAGGAAAAAGAAAAAAAACCGTACATATATTGGGAAAAAAATGGAAGAAACTCATATCCCAAAGATCTGATTTCCATAATATACAAAGATTTCCAATATAGTGATAAGAAAAAAGCCAATAAATCTAGAATAAAGAATAAAGAACATACAATTGACAGAAAAAATGTATAAATGACTCTTACATTTATGAAAAATGCTTAACTACATTTAGTAACATAAGACAAATATATATTAAAACTATCAGATCACATTGGTAAAAATAAAATAACTTATTCTGGCAAAGTGTGGGGAAAGAAACAATCTAACTGCTGGTGGGAATGTCAATTGGTATAACTTTTGTGGAGCACGATTTCTAAAAATCTGTAAATATAAAAATGCACATGCAATTTGTACCAGCAATTTCACTTCTATACGTTTATCTTACAGATTTATTCTCATGAAATATTAAAATAGCTAATAATTATTGAATACTCAGTATGTACCAGTCACTGTTTAAGCCCTTTATACATATTAGCTAATGTAAGTCTCATACTAACTCTCTGAGGCAGAAATAATTATTCTGTTTTAGAGCTGAAGAAACTAAAGTATAAAAAGATAAATTTACTTTCCTAAAATGAAACATTGGTAAGTACTGGATATGAAAATAAAACACAGGTGGTGTACCTCCAGTCCCTCATGCTGTTTGCCACTATAATACACTATTTCTCAACATGCGCAAGGATATTCATTGGTGAGTTGTATGCAGCAGCTATATATACAAACAAACATCTATTAATAGTAGACTGCACAAATAAATTATAGTACATCCAAACAGTGGAACACATGCAGCATTTAAAAAGAATGCCAGTCTATGACCATGCCACCCTGAACAAGCCCGATCCTGTCTGATCTCAGAAGCTAAGCAGGGTTGGGCTTGGTTAGTACTTGGATGGGAGACCACCTAGGAAGACTAGGTGCTGTAAGGCATAAAAAATAAAAAATGAAGGCTTGTAAGCTGACAAGGTCCTTGCGATCCGTGAGGTCAACCAAGGGTCGACTTACCTAAAAATAAATGAATGAATGAATGAATGAATGAATGAATAGGATGCCAATGTTCTCTCAGTAACTGATATGAAAGGATCTCCAAGACACAGTAGCTGAAGACAGCAAACCATAGAACAGTGTCTACAATACACAGCTACGTATGTAGAAATAAAATGACATACTATTATACATATATAATCATACGTGCTTTTCCATGCACAGAATATCTCCAGAGGGATATACAAGAAACTGCCAACACTGGTTACCTGGGAAGGGAAATGGTTGTCTGGACCACACAGGTGGAATGGGAACTTACCTGTCACTTTTCTACAATGTGCATGTTTATCTAGTCAACAGAAATAAATCATTTCAAAATAAAATAAGTTGAAGGTACAAAATTAAAGAAAAAGTGCCATTATCTACTTCTTTTATTTATTTAATATACAGGTCACCCACACAAGATGTTACTTAAAGAAATTATTCTAGAGTTACCACAAATTTGAAAAACAATGGAACAAAGAATAACTAATAAAGTTTAATGTTCACAGTAAATATATGCGGCTTAAAGCTTATAGAAAATAGTTTGTCATACCTGATATGTGCATTACAGTATCTTTTGGCATAGTCAGTCCATGTTCCAAATTTTTGTGGAAAGAGAGCTTCAATTTGCATGAAGAGCTGTAACAATACACGCGTTCTGAACATGTTGTAATATTTCCAAGTAAATTATTATTACTACGATGAATCCAGTTAATTAAACAGTAAAAAGTAAAAAAGGAAATCTACCTCTTTTTCCTCAAGGCTCTTCCACCCCTTCCCTCCACTATATATTTTCTATGCCTATATATGCACATGTATATATTCTCTTTTATTTCACATAAATAGGATCATATTATACATACACAGCTAGAATTTTGTCCTCAAAAACATGTCTTAGACATCATTAAAGTACATATATATCTATTTTTACTTCATTTTAAAAATTATATAAGCAATATACTATAATAATACAGCATTGTTTAAAGGCTACATAGCAACCCATTTTCTTAGCTGTACCATAAAATATTTAAACAGTCTCCTATTAATGGATATATAGGCTGTTTTTAACTTTTATGCAATTACAAAAATTAATTACTTCATGTAAGTCTGTGTGTATGTGTGCACATATATAAATATACGTAGGTGTAGGCATATGTACTACATCTACATCTATTAATCTGACAGATGTTACCATGTTGCACTGTAAAAAGACAGTCCCACTTGATATTCCCATCAATAGTATCATGAAATCTTTTCATCTTTCTAACTTTTATAATATTTCCTTTAATTCTCACAATAACCCTACAAGACAACAAGCCCATGTTTTCTTCTCTGACTCAGTTTTCATTAATAAGACAGGGCTCTCTTCACTGACACTTACAGACTCATAACAGTTAAATCCTTTATTTCTTCTTCCCAGCTCTTTAATCACTCCATATCCCACCAGCCTCTTAAAGTCGTAAATGCTAAATGGGGCATCAAAGAAATGCTTTATTCCTCCACTCTAAGTAGATAACCTATTTGGTCTGCACATAAGTTTCCACCTTCCCAAACATGGAACTTAAAATGAAAGAGGAACAGAAAGAGGTTATATAATATAGTATAAAAGATATAAAGACATATCTTTATAAACGATAATCAAGTTGATTCGACTCCAATCTTAAGGAGCTTATAATGTAAAATAGATTGGATAAAATGAAGATTAAGGCCATACAAGAACCATAAGGACACAAGTGGGGAGAATGTTACAAATCTGTACTAAATATGAAAACCTTATAATAAAGGTAAAAACAATTTTTTTTAATAATATAAACCTACAAGCATGGCTAAGGTTCACATGTACATAGATAAAAAATCATAGTAAAAGATACACTTACTCATTAACAGCTGTCTAGAAATTCTCAAAGTACTCTTCTGATATTTGAGGCAACTAATTTAAAACTTCAAAACAGGTAATTGATTCAATTTTCTATTTTTTTAAAGCCCAAAATATAAAGATTTTGATACCTCTTCGGGCCTTCCCAAAGCTGGAGTTCCTGTAAGAAGTATAGCTCTTTTGGCTTTCTGTACTATTGGCAATAAAATCTTGCTGCGAGTTGCATTTCTGGACTTCATGTAGTGTGATTCATCCACTATCACTACGTTAAAGTTCTGATTATTCAGTGCATCTACCAAAGCCTCTGCATCTGTCGTTAAAAGACCATAACCCAGAACTGTCACTTTGCTGATCGATATTCTCCTAGAAAAGAAAATCCATGCACTTTAAAAATATTTCAGTAACCAATGTATCATAAATAATACAATTCTTTGAGAATACAGAGAAGAGGAAAAATAAGAGATGGTGTCACTGCTGAAACCCAAATTTCTCTTAAGATTTTATAGTCTTCAAGTATAATAAACAAGAATCCCAAATTTAAAATTCAATTAATTGAATCCAAAATTTTGGTTAAATAGTCTTTGGAAGATCTTGACATCCAGCAAGCCATATTTTATTAGGATAAGAACATTACTTTCTGATCATATTTTCTTCCATGTAGCTAGGATCATGTATAAAGTGGATACTCAAATATTAGTTGACTATTTCCACAAACAGGATAACAGTGTTTTTTAGGCAGGCGCTACTGGGATTTTGAGCAGGACAGTACTTAGTACTGCAGGGCTGTCCAGTATCCTGAAGGGCATTTCACATTCCTGGACCCTTCCATTAAAGGCCAGCATAGTCAGTCACTCTGACAACAAAAAATGCCCCTGACCTGGGGCGATAAAGTGTGGGGAAAAGAGGAGGGGGTAGCACTTCATGCAGAGAAATACTGGGCTAAAATGATCTCTGATCTTTGAACTATCTCTATAATTCACACATCTATAATATTCTGATATTGGATAATGAAATTATTATACTGTAATGAAATTATTCACTTACATATTTTTCTCATGTACTATAAGATTGATGAGGGCAGGGAATGTGTCTTATTCATTTTCGTATGTACAGTGCTATGCTCCCAATGAGTTTGTACGATTAAATAATTAGACAAATTTATCAACGATAAAACATGTCACTTCGCATTTTCTATATCATCAGTGAAAATAGAGGACCGAGCCAATCTTCTGCAGTTCCCTAACCCCTAAGAGAAAAAGCAGAGCTCCTAAATAGCCAGTATCAACACAACAATCATGTTTCCCTCCCCTCCCCCGCTTAATGACAACTGCATTTTAAGCCCTGGATAAATCTACTTAATACAGAGACTTATTTAGTATATACCAATGACTAGCTTTTTTTTCTTAAAGATTAAAAAGTTACTCTTACCCAACATCAGTTTTATTCTGAATAACATTGATTTCTTCTGGACCTAGCTCTGGAATCCATTTCTCTATTTCTTCCGTCCAAGGGTACCTCAGAGATGAAGGGACCACTATTAAAAGAGGCCATTCCTCCTTATAGAAGTAAGCGATGGCAATTGCCTGGATTGTCTTTCCTAGACCCATCTAAATTAAAAATAAATAGATAAATAGATAAATAGATAGATAAACAAAGGCTAAAATATTTTGAAAGAAAATATTTACTAAATATTTTATTTGAGTATTATTATTGAAATAATTTTCCAATGTAAAATTAATTGGATTACACAGTTAGATAAAAATCTCAACATTATGATGACCTTCAGGTTCGTTAGGCAAATTACTTTATTTTCAAACCATCTGTGATTGGACACAGAGATAAAATGACCCCTAATGTCAAATGTTAGTTATACTAATTTCATGTAACTAAATTTTATAAAGATGTATGTGACCATTTATAATTTCTCCTCTTAGAGAACACAAGAGTAAATGCCTTACCTTTATACTACAAAATCACATTTTTTTAAAGCTAGAATAAGCTCTAAATCATGCATATTTTACTAAAAAAGTAAGCACAGAGTGGTTAAATTATTAGTTTAACTTAACACTCAACTGGATGCAAAACTAATATGAGGGCCCAAGTCTGTGGAGTCTTCTCATTTGATTGTTTTTACACTTATATCATACTGCTCCATCTCTAAGCTGTACCTGTTTAAAAATTAGTTACTAAATGAATGTTTATAGAAGTTTTGTTCACAATAGACAGAAACTGGAGAGAACCCAAATGTGCTTCTAATGGGGCATGGATAAAAACTGCACTACATCCATACAATGGAACACTAAACAGCAACAAAAGGAACAGACTATTGCTATACACAATAACATGAACGAATCTCAAATGCATTTTGCTAAGTGAAAGAAGTCAGAATCAAAAGCTAGGTATTTTAAGATTCCAAACTTTTATGTCATCCTGGAAAAGGCAAAACAACAGGGACAGAAAGCACCTTGGGGTTGGGGTAAAGGGAGGACAGCAGCATAAGGAAACTTATGGGGCTGGCAGAGCTGTTCTATTATCTTGATTGTGTGGCAGTTACATGACTGTATGCATTTGTCAGAACTCATAGAATTGTACACTAAAAAAGGCTGAATTTACCTAAAAGCATGAATTATACCTCAATAATCCTGATTTTTAAAAGAAAAGTAGTTACAGTTGTGAACCATGTGAGAGAAAGACTAAAAAAGATAGGCCTTACTTACCAGTATATTCAAAGAGAAAAAAGATATAGAAACCTAAAACAATTTAAAATTAGTTTTAAATGCTGAAATTAAAGAAGAAAAGTGAAGTTTTAGACTTTTAGCAAGTCTCCATTAAGAAAATCCTGTTTTGCCTATTTCTCCTTTTACTACTGTTATTTTAAGTAATCTTAAAATAATTCAAGCAATTATATTTATATAAATCAAACACAAAAAGTAAAGAGAAAGTTAGTGTGACTTGCTTAGAAAAACATTCTTTTGATTGGAATAATGACTGCCAAAAGGAAACATGATAAATGGAATGTAGGAAGTAATTTTTTTCTCATCTGGTACGTAGTAAGTACTCGGATATTATTTGAACTCATGAATACGTGACCAAATAAAGACCAAGGACTTTAAATTCTCTGGGGCAGGCAAGACCCAGAAACAGAAAAGGTGTCTGCAGTTTTAAAAAAGGGGGAGGGAGATAACTGAAAAGATTTCCATCCAAGAGCAGTGACATTAGTCATAATTTTGATGTTCTGAGGCACATAACACTGAAGTGCAGAGACAAAGCTAAGTCCGAAAGCTTTTATTTTTCAACAAAATCCAGTTGAAGATAAAAATTGTTTTCTACGTCGTATTTAAGAATAAAATTGAGGTTAGGCCAAGCAGTTCTTGGTGACAGGTTAAGGTAACTTAGAAATGGACACACATGCACACACACAGAGCTTACATATTTTATTATAAAATTAAATCATTTAACACCTTAATAGACTATATCTCTTTCCAAGGAATAGCGTACAACTCAAACTTTAGGCCTACATAGCCAAATTTAAGATTTACCTGATGGTAGAAGGCATAGCTCAAAGAAAAAATTTTTAAATACCTTGTAAAACCAAACCAAAGTGCAATTTTGCACCAATATATGGTCTAATGACTGGTATACTTCCCTATCTTCAAAACCTTCCAATCTTCACAGCTGAGATCACTTAAACGTCACTAGATGGGACTGACCTGGTTCCAAAGCAGCAGAAAATTAATAATGACAGATCTCTACTTGGCTGGGGTCATTAGTATTGCTGCTCCCCCAACAACGACCATGAGTGCAGTTCCAGGAACTGAGCTGTGGCCCTACTTTTTGTGTGTGGACCATATCACTAACTCTGTGCCAGAATTGTGGGTCCCTGGTTGATTCCTGCCAAGTTTTAATAACACATTTTCTTAATTTTAATTTTTCTAGAAATAGGAGTCCCTTTTGCTTCCCTAACTTTCCAGGACATAGAATTCTTTCTCTGGGATTCAGATTCTATCCCTGGGTCCTTACCTTCTGCTTGTTGCTAAATTTACGTGGTTGCCAATCATGCGTCTACCTAGATCTTTGTGTGTTTTACATGGTGTGACTAACAGTGTTCTGTGTTGGCCTGCCTGGCACCTACTTATGAATCACTTACCAAAATTTCCCAATATTATCTGCAACTGAGATCAGAGATGTAGGTCTTCATTAAGGAAATATAGAAATGGGACTTGAAACAATAGGTAGAAAAAAAGCCAGTTGAAAAAGAGAAGCTTTGGATTGAAGATA